GGACCATGTCGGGTCGGGTCAAGTACATACCAAATATAGTTATGGACTTAGACATTAATCCAACAAAACATTGTGGTCGATCTCGAATTTGTGCCACCGTTTTCTTGTTTATTCTCGTCCAAACTTTATCTGTCTTCGTGTCGAGTTTGATGCCTTTGTTTTCTATAGGCTCTGCTAAATCTTTCAGATTAAGCAAATCTTCCATCATTGGCTTCCACATGTTGTAATTTGTGGGCGTAAGTCGAACCATCATAATCGTACTTGTAGATTCCATCGAAAATACTTGCAAATTTATTTTACAAATATTTCAAGGAAAAATTAGATAAAACCGAGCTCTCGGTTGGATTCAGAAGCGTCAAAAATGGTGGGGTAGAATTTTTCGGGCTCAAAATATACTTTATTCAAAAGTTATGTGCTAATTTGTAACTTTTCAGAACTATAGGGGCTAAACTGTAATTTTCGGAACTTACAGGGGCTAATCTGAAACGTTTCTGCAAACCAGGGACCTTTCTGAAACTTTTCAGAACTTCAGGGACCAAAACAGTTATTTTCCGAACAACAGGGACCGAACTGCAGTTTTTCAGAAACAGAGGGACCTTTCTGCAATTTTCTGGAACTTTAGGGGCTAAAATGCAACTTTTCTGAACTATGGTCAAACGCTGACGTCATCAATGACGTCACTCGTCTTCTCCGGCGACTAGTTTTTCCGGCAATATATTCTGGCAACTTTGACCAATCTTTGACCGGTGTTTTGGAGGTCTTCCCGTGGTCAAAAAATTACGAAAAAAATATTTTCGGAATCCTTGAGACAATCACTTTCCAACGGTGTACTCAAAAATGGATTTTGAGACAAAAAAATTTTGACGAAAAAACAGAGAAATTCGTAAAGAATTCCCTGGACACCAAACGGGGCTCTGATACCAGTTGTTGGGGTTGGAAAACTCTTCTATTAAACACTAAAATATAATTACAATAGGAGGAACAACTCTCACACTCAACTATTATAAAAAACCAACCCTCTCACTAACACACTCACTCTAAGTGTTATACTATCCGTTTCTCTGTGTTTGGAATGCTTACAACTGAAAAATGAAGTCTCTATTTATAGTCTTGGCAGCCACCTTTTTTGTTACCTTCATTAACTGTGTTCATCATAGGGTTGGAAGACTTTGCCACCCTAGGTTTCATTTTGTCAACAAAAATGGCTACCGTAGCTTTGGAGGCTGGAACACAACAAAACTGAAGAGCCTATAGGTTGGATTCCAATGTTCCATTTGAAATTTCTTGAGCTATCTAATTGCAATATAAATAGGCGTAAAGGACATGTGGTTCCTGTGTTTCTACTTCACTAACACAACTTACATGTAATAGACATGTCTCACAACTCCTTGAAAGGAGTGTTTCCAAAATGGTTGATTAAAAATAATACGAATTTGGAAGCTCTTAATTTAAGGAACAACTCCTTTGGTGGCATTATTAGTATACCTTCATATAGAAATGCTAATATGCAGGAGTTAGATGTTTCTAGAAATCACATGATAGGTACAATTCCCAACGATATATAGAAGTTTGCACCTTACATAGTCCGTTTAAATTTGTCCAGTAATGCTTTAACTGGTGCTATCCCATCTTCAATTGGTGGTTTAAATGAATTATATCTATTGGATTTATCTGATAATGACTTATCTGGAGAAGTACCAAAGGGATTGTTTACAAACATGTCTAGTTTGATGATCTTAAAACTATCAAACAACAAATTGTATGGCGAGATACTCTCAGGGAATTTAAGCTTGCTCAACATCGACAAGGTTCACTTAGATAACAACCATTTCACAGGGAAAATTGGCAAGGAAAATCCTGAATATCTTACTGTTCTGGATATTAGCAATAACTTTTTTACAGTGATCACCCTGGTTGAATAAGCAACATGAGTTACTTGTCTGAACTTCTGATGAGAAATAATAGTTTTGAAGGCCGGTTTCCTTGTGGAACAGCTCAATTCTCATTTCTGGATATCTCACAAAATTCTTTCTCTGGGCCCATCCCATCCTGCTTACATTTGCAAGATATGGAGCATCTTCATTTGGGTTCCAATAGATTCACAGGATGGATACCCAATCACTTCCGTAATTTGACTAAAGTTTTGACTTTGGACATAGGCAACAATAACTTGTCAGGCATGATTCCTGAATTTCTTGGCGAACTATCCAGTTTAAGGATTCTTCTTTTGAGAAAAAATAACTTTAGCGGGTTTATTCCGAAGCAGTTGTGCCAATTAAGTAACGTGAGTTTGATAGATTTATCCCATAAATCCTTTTCTGGTTCAATACCCAGCTGCCTACAAAACATTACTGGCCCAAGTGACCTTACTTTCATAGAAACAAGTATATCATTGTATCACATGTTTTCTGTTGAAGGTCATCACTAGCCCAATAGATATTAGCCCAATAGAATCAATGTTATTGTCTAGAAGAAGTTAGCATTGTCTAGAATGATCTGGAAAATTCTAGAACATTATGGAATACTATGGAGGAGTCTAGAAGATGCCGGAAGACTCTAGAATACTCCAGAACGACATAGAAGACCCTGGAAGGTTATGGATCATTCTAGAAGACATTGGAGCATCCTAGACCTCTCCAGAACATTATAGAACATTTTAGAAACATATAGAAGTTTGTAATAGATATAGAATACGATAGAAAGTTCTAGAATAGTCATGAATATATGTAGATCTAGAACCTTCCTATATGGAGGTGAAAACACCTATAAATAGGTATGGAGCTCATTTGCTCCAAACTAATCCCAACATCCAAACCATCTAAGAAACGCCTCAAAGAAAGCAAAGTGTGTAGTAGTCTCTCAAAGTGCAAGTTCTTCTTAAGTGTCTTAATAAAAGTATTGTTGTTTCCCATATAAAGAGTCGTGTTCAACATTTTCTTCATATGATTATGTGAGTGCTATACGGAGGTCGTATAACATCTACTTTCATATAGAAGAGTTAGAAACACAACATGAAGTTCGGTTCACAACAAAAAATCTCTTTCTCCACTACAAGGGTGACATCCTTGATTACATGACAGGATTGGATCTATCCAATAACAAACTTACAGGTGAAATTCCACAAGAACTTGGGTTGTTGAGCCAGATTCGTGCTTTGAAGCTGTATCACAATCAGCGGACTGGGCCTATTCCAATGAACTTCTCAAATCTTGCAAAGATAGAGAGCTTGGACCTCTCTTCAAATGGTTTGACCGGAAAAGTTCCATCAGAACTGATTAAGCTTACATCTCTATCTACTTTCAATGTTTCTCACAACAATCTATCAGGCAAACTCCCAGAAATGAAAGCACAGGTTGGTACCTTCATAGAGGCAAGCTATGAAGGGAATCCACTTATTTGTGGACTGCCTTTGGAGAAGAAATGCTCTACTGATTCACTGGTGACCAATTCATCAGCTGAAGTAGACAATGAGAAATGGTATGCTATCGATATGACATGGTTTTATGCAAGTTCTGGTTCTACATGTGGTGTGTTTTGGGTTTTGTTACCCTTCTTTACATCAATCCTCACTGGCGTAGAAGATGGCTACACTGGGTTGAAGATTGTATGTTTACATGTTATTACTTCCTTTATGATTTAGTAAGAAAGCCTACTCTATGATCTTCCAAACTTATGGCCTCATTAAGAATGCGTGATAGAATAAACGCAAACTTGTTTCTATATGTATTCGTATTTGTCTGTTTTTATATAAGTACGACGATGTTTAAGAAGGCTAGTCATGTTAAATGTGTTTCCCCATCCCATTTATGCAAAAGAATTTGACTAATTAATGGTTCGTTGCAAAGTTGACACATTTACAAAACTTACATTGATTTATGGTATTTCTTAAATTTAGCAAACTTACATTGATCTATGGCACCAAAATGACTTAAATTACTTTTGCCTGTCATGTATTTTATGACAAGTAATCACCATTGGTTGAGTCAACATGTGCAGCCAACTCCTCATTTCACTAACAAAACTAATGATCCATTAAACATGATGTCAAAACAATGGCGTTTTTATGGCTTAAGAATAGATCAAAATGGGGTAGGGGTTTGATATGGGGTTTATGGGTTGACAACCCAATGTATCACACCATGTAATCTCTTTCTCTTTCTCCTAAGCTGAAATGGTCAACAAAAAAAGAATTGAACATGCGCTGCTCTAAGCTTCAAAGCTGAAATGGTCAACAACACCTCCTTTCCTACAAGATTGACCCAACGTGATTAAACTCTTTAGTATTTCTATATAATGTAGTTAGAGTGTGGTTTCAGTGCATTTTCTGTTCAAAAAAAAAAAACTTTAGAAGATTGTATAATTTTAATTAAATTTTGTTATTTGCTATTTCGATAACTAAAAGCAGAATTAAACAAAAATAACTAATTCATAGATCAATAGATTGAAATAATGATAAGTGATATTTGAACAATTTAAATTTTGAAAATTGTATATGTGCGTGAATGAAATTGGCAAAAAGATGTAGTTTATAATTAATGAAATGCATTGATACTTAAGATAAGGACGTTGGCTCCAAGCGTTTGGGTTGACATGTCAAATAAAAGTCCGACCCAGTTGTGTTATTAACTTATTATGGAATTTTTATAAGAACAAATCACTGAAATGGTACATGTGGTATACAAAAATTTAGCGTGCAAAATAAAAGATAAGGATCAAACGTGAAATTTTTGCAAACAATGCGGAATGTACACTTTCCAGATTATTCCAGCACTTGCTCTGGTCAATTAACAACGGAGATTGGAGAAGCATTTTCATTTACAGAACCACTACAAAATTCATCAAATTCGAACCGGCCTACATTGATTATTTGATAAGATTCATTCTAACAATTCTTATGAATCAACAAATACACGGTGGTAAAATAGAATTCAAAAGAATTAAAAAGTACAAAGATATTTTATGCAAATTGAAACTTCAATGTTTGTTGAAAAAGTCAACAAGATGTCGCTATGCCATAAGTTTATGGGAGTGTATCATAAATCCAAAAGGGGCAGGTGACCATGGAGAATAGACTTATGCGTGGGAATCACCATTTGACTTGATGACTTACGGAGAATTATCAATTATGCAATCATTGACTTGATGATTTGTACAGAATTATGCAATTCATATTCGTTTCATTGCAAATCAAGTGTTTCCCATGCCTCATTACATATCTGCTCATATACCAAGGAAACCACGATTTTAATAGTGTGAGTGTCTCTACGGAGCCATCATTATTACTGTAGCAACTAAAATGGAGTGTTGGGGTTTGAGTTTGCGTAAATCATGGTTATATTGGTCGTTGATGTTGATGATTATACAAATTCTTATCGTCAGGCAAACAAAAGGGGATTGTATAGAAGAGGAGAGAAAGGCACCACTAGAAATCAAAGACTCCCATATCAACTCATATAATTCCAAAATTGACCATTTTCTCCCTACCTGGGTTGATTATGGTGACTGTTGTGATTCGGAGAGGGTCACCTGCAACACAACCACCGGCTATGTGACAGAGCTTTCTTTGTACTATTTGAGAGGGACAGACGATGACATAAAGTTTTGAAGCAAGTTTTGGCCATTGAATGTTTCCTTGTTTCTACATTTTAAAGAGTTGAGGAGTCTGAATTTGTCAGATGATTTTCTTGACAAGGAGATTATGAAGACAGGTACAACATGATTAAATGCTTTAGTATTTCTTTCGCCTAGTTTAATATCATCCTTTTTGAGCAAGTAATTAATTCGAGTAAATTGGCTCTATCTAAATTCATGGACTCAACCTCCAACTAATGTATAACTGAGTAAGTTGGATAATATTTTTGTATATAAAAGACCTAACACAAGACTTTATGTGCTTCAGATCCTGCCATAACTTATTATTATTTGTCACCTGAGCCTGCATCAAAATATTAGGATGCCTATGTTAAAAACTTCTTTTTCTTTTGCAGGACTAGAAAAGTTGTCGAGTTTGAAGAAGTTGGAGGTACTAGACCTCAGTTTCAATGTTGATATTGATAACGACATCCTTCCATCATTGATGACACTCACTTCACTCAAAATCTTGGATCTTAGCTTCACTAGCTTGAATGGAAACTTTCCTATCAGTGGCATGTTTTCACCTTTACTCTGTTTTTAAGTTATCATGCACAAATGCATATTTTAAAGATATTTACACCCTTTTTAGATGAATTGCAGAATTTGCAGCTTTAGAAAATCTGAAGGTGTTGGATCTAAGCAACTGTAACTTTAATGGTACCTTTCATCGCTGATAAACTAACTTGTTATATCAAACTAAAGCTGATAAATTCGACTGCTTCAATTTCTAAGTGTAGGCGTTTCAATATTAAAGAAGTTGAAATCATTAAATCCTGGGTACAACAGATTTAATGAAAGCGCTGCAACATCTTTGAATACACTTTCATCACTGACAAACTTGGATCTTAGCAACAACCCTTTATTAGGACCATTTCCAGCTCAAGGTACATGCTATATATGACTATAAAGTACTATTATAATCTAGCATGTGTCCTTGTACACATTGAATAAGGCTTCCTACTTACAACTAACAAGGATGTGAAAAGTCTAATGAGCGTATGTGCATAATATGTGTTTTATGTTTTTCTTGTTTATGACAGAATTAGCTCATCTCACTAACTTGGAGAAGTTGGATTTAAGTTTCACCCAGCTCAATGGCACACCAGATATCCAAGGTAAATGGAGAATTGGTTTCTCCTAGCCCTAACCCTGATAAAGTTCTTAAAAACCAATTAATCCTATATTATTCCATAATTAAAATTTTATATGTAAGAGTATACGATCACCATGGTTTCAGTAGCATTTCATTTTTTTCTACAGCTTGTAAGATGTTGATGTAGGACGCAGGAAGCTACCATGTTTTTATGAAGAATCGGAGCTTCGAGATACTACACGAGAATCATTTGAGATAGAGAGAGAGATAGAGAGAGAGAGAAGAGGGAAATATTTGGGGAAAAGCTTTATTAAATCGATAACTATTTTCACGCAGTTGTACATTCTATTTATGCCCTCAAGACATTACTAACAACTTTCATCTATATTGAATTTACATTTATGCCCCTCTTGTAACTAACTTTATAACAACTAGCCCTGTATCATACTTTCCCCCTAAAAGATTTGACTTGCCCACAAGTCATACAGATGCTAGAAAAAAATCAGGAAATTTATTTTTTATATGATCTGCAAATTCCCAAGATGCTTCACTCGGAGGGAAATCATTCCACTGTATAAGGTATTGTACAACTGCCTTGTTTTGTCTTTTCACAATTCGTCTATCAAGAATTTTACTTGGCTTGATATCGATATCTGTGTTTTGTCCTTTCCACCATGCCGGAATATGAGGAAGGTCAGGTAAACTTCCTTTAAATGTTTTCAGTTGAGACACATGAAACACATTATGTGTTTTTGCAGATTCAGGTAGTTGTAATCTATATGTGACTTTCCCGATTTTTGACACAACTTGGAACGGTCCAAAATACTTAGGACTTATCTTAAGATTGCTCCGAGATTGCACCGAATTTTGCCTGTAATTTTGCA